ATGTTGGTAATTCCCATGTGCGTTAGAATCCCCATGGGCAGAAATCGGCAACGGTACCCTGTGGATGCTGTCCTTCCCAGGTTAGCATCTCTCAGCTGCAGCCACGCTTGAGCCACAGCTGGGTTGGGACTCTGCAGACCACAACAAGGGACCTGAGGGGCACAGCGAGACCAGGCAGGGAGACCGCGCTGCTTCCTGTCTGCTCTTGTCTTCGCGTTGGGGTCCTGTTTTGTCCCCATCGCTCCGCCTGTGTCCTCACCCCGCATTGGCCCTCCGTCCCTGCAGCAGGGGTGGGCCCAGGCTGAGTGTCTTTGCCACCCTGGCTGGCAGGACAGTCCTTTCACGCCCCTGGAAGTGGTGGGCACCCCTCTGGGCTCAGACACAGCCACAGGGGCCAGCGCTCAAAGTCCCTCCCACAGTCCCAACCTCTGCTCCGGCCCCAGCCCTGGAGGAGGCTGCTGCTTCGTGCCATCTCGAACTCCATGATATCAGTTTCCTCTTTGCTTTTTCCATGCAGTCGTCCCTGTGAAACAGCCGTGTGACCCGACCCAGAGCCACCTGGTTAAAGGAGACAGCAGCACGCTCTCAGGTCAGCTGAACGGGAGGCTCTGGGGGCAGGAGGGAAAGCTACAAGCAGCCGACGGGAGCAGGACATGGGCAGTGAGGAAGGACAGCGGACCAGCCACCTGTTCCTCTGTCACTGGGCCTTTGCTCCAAGAATATCGGCGTAAGCAATCAATTTCACTGTGATCGGTTACTGCTAACTGTGCTTAACCCACACCGATGAAGCATGAAAAACAATACCAGGCATAATGCTGATGATTACACATATGCCACTTCATGTACCCTCATCACAGCCTCATGAGGCAGGAATTAATATCATGCTCACTTCTGGAAGAGACAACAGGGTTTGAGGTATTAAATAATGTGTCCAAGTTTGCACCACCGGTAAAGAAAGAAAAACAAGAGCCATAAATACAAACAGAATTTAACTACGAGGAATCACTGGATAAAACTGTTCGCACTGACTTGTGAGCTATTTCCCTGGTCTGGACGCTCCATCCTGGGCATCTGTGTTCACAGGGGACTCCTGGCTGTGCCCACTGTGGCAGGTGCTCGTGCCTTTGCCAGCCCAGTGCAAAAAATGGAGGACACACTGATGAGAGCGCAGACTGCTCACACAGCCTGTTAGCAACACAAGCACAGCACACTTCTGCACACTCACAAGCCAAACAGGTTTCATATAAGACAAACGGATTATTTGGAAATTGTTCAGAGTCAGCTTTGTTGTATAGAGGAGAGGCATCTGAGAGCTTCAGACTGTAATTATTTGGCTGATTAAGATCTACCTATCTATTTATCTGTCATCTATCTATCTGTCATCTATCTATCTGTCTATCTATATCTATCTATCTATCTATCTATCTATCTATCTATCTATCTATCTATCTTATCTATCTATTATCTATCTATCATCTATCTATCTATCTATCTATCTATCTATCTATCTATCTTTCTATCATCTATTTATCATCCATCCATCATCTTTCTATTTATCTATCATCTATCCATCTATTTACCTATTTCTCTACCTATCTATCTTCTATCTATTGATCTATCTACCTATCTATCTATCTCTGTCATCTATTTATTCACCTATCTACCTACCTATCTATTTAATGATATCTAATCTAATTAATGATTTTATTAAACAATAATTTATATAAAGTAAAAAATGATCTTGGTTTCCTTTATTTTAAAATATTTTTATTGATTTCATAGAGGGAGGGCAAGGGAGAGAGAGATAGAAACATCAATGATGAGAGTGAATCATTGATCAGTTGCCTCCTGCACCCCTCCCCCCCAACTGGGGATCGAGCCTGCAACCAGTCCCCCAACAGCACCAGGCATATGCCTGACCAGGAATCGAACCATGACCTCCTGGTTCATAGGTCGACGCTCAACCACTGAGCCACGCCAACCAGGCTTGGCTTCCTTGTAAAGGTGAGAGGACTGGACCTGACCACTTGCCCAGAACTTGGCTCTCTTGCCATCTAGACCAAACTGAAATTCTTTACATTCGGAAGAAGTCACATGTTAGAAAATACTCAAGCAATTACAACGCTCAAACAATTTCACACTGACAGACTAAATGACAATGTACACTGATTGAAAACTCCAGTCATAGCAATTAGAATAATGTTCTGCAACTCAAAAAAAAGCTGCACTTGAAAATGTCTTTAAAGTTGTCAAACATGAAAATTTCCAAATAGTTTGAAGACTGTCTAAATGTTATGTTTTCTTCCCAGAAAACTGTGGTGCTTTCCAGGGGGAGGGGGGATGAAGAAGGAAAGGGTACAGGGGGATAAATGGTGATGGAAGGAGACTTGACTTTGGGTGGTGAACACACAATACAATATACAGATGATGTATATAGAATTGTACCCCTGAAGTCTGTATAATTTTATTAACCAATGTCACCCCAATAAACTCAGTAAAAAATAAAATAAATTATATTTTCTTAATATCTGTGGGTTATTTTAATGCTGCCAGAACTTCACATCATTTTTAGGACAAGTTATTAGAAGCTATTTAATATTTAAAATGAAGTATATTTTGTAGAAATGTTAGAAATGACTTGGTAAAATAATTTCTAAAAATTCCTATCTGGCCACGAAGGGATAATAGTGAAGTACCTGCTTTCTGCAGCGGCGGACAGTGGTCAGGAAGGCGGGCTGCGGGGCTACTTCCGGGGGCAAGGCTGCGCCTGGCACTTAGCCCCTGTGATTTGCATATTCACACAGCGGGTCGCTGACCACACCCATAGGTTATGACTGTAGCTTTGTCATTGATTAACCGTGTGACCCGGGAAAACCAAAGTCTCTTAAATGTACGGAGATGAAACAGTAACACAGACTGGTGTCCACGGGGAGGGAGACATGAAAGTGCCCGAGGAGGCAAAAACTAGCAAACAGAGCACCTTTCCTGCTTTGGGGAAGGGAGGCACCCAGAGAGGAATACACAGCAGAACCAAGGTGCCCTGGAGGTACCAGCGGAGGATTTGGTCGGGAAGCGTGTGCTCAGGGCTGCAGGGAAGTCAGGCAATGAGCCGGCTCGGGTCCGAGGAGAAAGATCCACACAGGAAGGTCCCAGGGGAAGCGGAGATGACCCGGGGCTGGACCCTGACAAGGGCTGCACAGTCTCTGCCCTCAGAGTTTGTAAATGTCCATCACAAACTCTTTCTCCAAGTTTGCCTTCCTGTACCTTGGGAATTTTGTTTGAATAAAACTTATAATTAAAGGCTTAAGAGATATTTACATCATTTTTGCTGGTCCCATGGCCTATGTACAGCGGCTCCTCACTTTGCATATCTCTGCATTTCAAGCCAACGTTGTGTTAAATAACACCAGTCCCCCACCAGCACCAGGTGCCTTTCAGTGTCCCCAGTGTGTGGACTGGGAGAAGTTTCAGGAAGCCCAGGCTTAGCTACTAGGTTCTCAGTCCATAGACCACGGCGCCCCCTGACCGACCCTCAGCCCAACACCTCTTTCGAGGGCTGTCAGGTCACCTGTCACTTGGGTCACACAAACAGCAGATGTGGGGGTGCTGTCTGCTCAGGATGAGCCATGTGGCATTTCACACAGTTGGATAACTTCAAGAGGGACGTGTCACCAAGAGGAAAGAGCAGCAGGAACTGGAAGCCCCTCCCGGCAGGGGCACAGCCTCAGGTCCCCGTCAAGCCCTGCCACGGGGGGGAGGGGGGGGCGCAGCCTCAGGTCCCCCCGCCTGGCGCCAGGGTGGAGGGTGTCTCCTCAGGTCCCCTGTCAAGCCCCGTGGGGCAGGGGGTGTGGCCTGAGGTTTTCCAGCCCAGAGCCGGGTCGGGGGGTGCGGCCCAAGGTCCCTCAGCCTGGCCAGGCACTATGCAGCCTCAGGTTCCTGTTGTCCGGAGTTATGGTGTCTGGGCTAATTTGCATATTCCTCTATTATATAGATAGATGCCAGACCAGTAAAATGTAAATATCATCTAAGCATAAATGTAATGGAAGTGGGATTGTAGGGCACATGGCCTAACCCTAACCCTAACCCTACAGCCAGGCTGACCATGCTTCTGGTTGACTCCAGATGTGGAGCCAGAGGGATTCAGGAAAAGCAAACCCATGGACGTGGATGAGGAAGGTGGGGAGTCCCCGGAGAGGGACACAGGGGAAAGAGCTCCCCACGAAGGACTCTGGGGCATGGTCCTCCACAGGCTCCCGCCGCCATGCTGACCCACCCTTGGGAAACACCCACTCGCCGGCTCCACGCCCTAAGTCAGGAGGAGAACCGACTGCTCGAACTATTTTGGAGAAGTCTTTTTTTGCAAAGAAATAAAACACATTAACTCTCAATATTTTCACCATTTTAAATCACAGTGTACTACGTAACTATTAGTTTTACTGTATTTCCTTGTACATTTATAGCCTAGAATAAGAGAGTTTTTAATGTTTTAACAAACATTTGTAAGGACCATGAAAAGTCTCGTTTTCCCACTGATTATTAGCATCACTGTGCACCGTCTCCTCTCCTGGCCCCACACTGTGCCGAGTGGGTGTAGTGTACTTCACAGAATCAAACCGATCTAGGCTGTTCAGTTGTCATATGAAAGCAGGTGTCTAAGGTTGAAGTCATTTTCTGAGTTTATAAAGCTCTGTCTTAAAAAATTCAAAGTTAACAACAGACCCGGAGAATAACTTTGGTTGATTAAATCTCTAAAATATTATGCAAATATCAGACACCTAATATTAGGCTTAAGCACCTAAAGTTGTACTTTATGTAATCCAGTAAGGACAATGAAAATAGGAAAAGCTGTTTAGATTGTATTTTGGGGGACTTAATAGTTTCTTTTCCTTTTACTATAAAATATTTTAAACACATTAATCAAGAATAGCCATAAATGAAATGTACAAAATACTTAAAAGATAATTTAAATCAAAGGGAAACAAGATGAAAAGTTTACATACCGATTGTAGAAATCATCTCTGTAGTAATCATAGTCGAAGACGTAACCACTAAGGGGAGAAACAAAAAAATTAGTTGACATTTGTTTCACACATTGATTTTTGGTACTAATTTATGATGTTCTAGCAAGCAACTTAGTCGCTTTATAAATACTTATTTTTCAATGTAATTATGTGTCTGAAGAGTTTTGCATGATAATGTTTCCTTGTCTATCACAGCGTGTCAGAGAACTGCCACATGTTTGACATGGTAGAGACTGATGTTGGTTGGAATGGAAGATGAGACCAGGAAGCAAAATGAAATATTTCAATACTTGTAATTAAACATGATTGAAGCCCATTTTTTTCCCTAGAGAAGATATAATATAGCTGTCTCTTCTTCCTAAGGTCTGTATAATGAGGCTAACCAATGAACAGAAGGAATCAAAATAGCACAAATGAAAGGGTTTAGGGGCCCATTCTCTCTAAGAATGGAAGTAGGATTGTGGTTTCCTCAGAAATTCAGCTTTTAAAACTCTAAACACTATGATTCAATACTTTTACATAGAGAAAATTTTTTAAAAAGGTCACTTTGGCTGAATCATACCAACTACAACAATATTACTGGGTATTTAAATAGGAATTAAAAAGTACATTTCAGTGATAAGATGGTTATAACTAAGTACCTTAAAGGGATATATTATACACTTTGCCCCCATGCACTATAGTGTGGAGTTGATAAAGCACTTTCTATGCAGTATTTTCTTTTAATCTTGTCCTCAAAACAACCCTGGCTGGATACTGTAACTGGAAGAAACTAAAGCGCAAAGGACCTCAGTGACTTGCTCAAAATTTAAAAAATATTGAATTTATTTTTTACTTATTGATTTTGAGAGAGATAGAGAAAGAGAGAGAGAGAGAGAGAGAGAGAGAGAGAGAGAGAGAGAGCTCTGTTGTTCCATTATTTATGCATCACTGGCTGATTCTTGTATGTGCCCTGACCAGGGATCCCCAACCTTGGTGTACCAGGACTACACGCTAACCAACTGAGCTACTCATCCGAGCAATTGCTCCAATGTTTACCACTAGGAAGTGACAGAGCCGACACTGGAGGAAAACACTTTAGAATCCAGGTCTGGAGCGCTGTGGTGACGCTGTGCGACCGCCCAAGCTGGGAGAAGTTTACTCTCACGCCAACCCTGTATCTGCTCTACAAGGAAGTGATTATTTTTAACATTACTCATTTATGTTGTCATAAAGCTTATGATTTTAGCCCATTTTACGTATGCAATTCAGCACCATTAGGTACAGTCACAATGTTGTGCAAACATCAGCACTATCCACTTCCAGAGTTTTCATCTTCCCAGACATTCTGTAACGCACCCTCTCCCCCACAGCCCTGTAACCTCCATCCTACTTTCTGTCTTTGTGAATTTGCCTAGTCTAGGTTCGTCCTATAAGTGGAATTGTACCATATTGGTCCTTTTCGTCTGGCTTGTTTCAGTTATCAAAACGTTTTCAAAGTTTATCCACGTTGTAGCATATAACAGAATTTCACTTCATTCCTTTTTATGACTGAATAATATAACAGTGTGTATATATCCTATATAATAAAGAGCTAATATGCTAATTAGACTGGACAGTGGAACGACCTTCTGGAACAACCTTCCAGATGATCTTCCAGAATGACCAGTGGGTGGGGCCTCAGAGCCTGGGTCGTGAGGCAGCCGGGGCTGCGAGGGCTGAGCCCATGCGCAGAACATGGCGGGTATCAGCAGCAGGCGGCCATCGGCCACAGTGGGATGGTGGAGCAGATGAGCGGGGGCACCAGACCAAGGCAGGGCACCAGTCACTGAAAATTCTTTGCTCCCATCCACTGCTTGCACCTGCTGCCCGACACTGGCCCTGATCACTCGGCACCATCAGTGGGTGTGAGTGGTGGCTGCCAGCCCCAATCGCCCCTGAGGGCTTCTCTACTTCCCCCTGCTCCTGAGGGGCAATCAGGGCAGCAGCTGCCACTCGTACCTGCTGTTGGCGCCATCCCCGCTCGCATCCACTGCTGGCGCTGGTCCCAATCACTCCACGCCATCACAGGTGCGAGCAGCGGGAGAGGGGCTGCTGGCAGACAGGGGACTGGGGGCCTCGGGGGGAGGGTGCGGAGATGGGCCGAGACCTGCCCCTGTGTCCACTGCAGCTTCACAGCCCACAGTTCCTTTCAAGGTGCATGAATTGGTGCACTGGGCCCCTAGTATATATATATCACTTTTTGTTTAAAGTCATGCTACTTTTACTCTAATTCATCATGAATAATTATTGTTTTAACTTATTTTTGAAGAATATGTTCATATTATAACTGGTAGTTTGTAACATTTGGCCAATGTCTCCCCATCTCTCCCCATCGCCAGGCCCTGCTGGCATCATCTAGCCTATTTTTCTGAGATTTTTTTTTCCTGATTCCACATATAAGTGGGATTGTGTAGTACTAGTCTTTCTCTGCCTGACTTATATGCCCACAAGACCCACCCAAGCTGTCCTGTTGGCCGGATGTCCTTCTTCGTGGCTGGGCAACGTTCCATTGCATAGGCACCACATCTTCCTTAGACTGCCATCTGTGGACAGGCACTGAGAAATGCTAATTATGTTTTATTATCTTTTTTCCTGAGACTCTTTTTTATATTACAACCTCAGACAGCAGAGCTTAACAGCAAGAAGAAACGATGACTCATGAACCGATTAATACATGTTCCTAATGTGGCAGATGGTGCTCATCCCATCCCTGCGTCTTCAGCCTTTAGGAAGCACTTCAGAAATGGAACAGCCTCTGGGAATTTAAAAATGAGCAAGAAAACTAATCCGTTTTTATTGTTCTCAGTGGCTGCTGAGGCGATCTGTCCATCCTACTTGCTTTGTTTCACCCTGACTGCTAAGGTCATTCACAAGAGCAGGTGAGACTGAGCATCAGGATGGTTTGACCTCCAACCCCACGTCTGCATCATGAACTCGATTTCGCCTGTCAAGCTGGTAATGAGATGAAATGTCAGGGCAATCATGATGAGCCTGCTTTTGTCTTGATGGTTTGAACTTTTAGCGGACACGTCAGGTTCAGCTCATTGGCTGTAAAATCGAGCTGGGTTTCCAAGGAGGAGGAAGAGATACAAGGAGATGAAGAGAGAACACCCCGGGTTAGTCTCATGCACTTTTCTTATGCTTTCTTGGGCCTTCCTGCCACCCCCCTCAATCCCTTTTTTTTTTTTTTTGGTCTTTTTTTCCTCCCTTGCAGATTGTATCTCTTTCATAAAAATCCCTCCTTTTTCTTTCTGTGCAAACCTCTACTGGAAATTAGCTGTCCAAAATGGCATCTCCAGGAGTCACATTGAAGTTTCTAGGGTACATTATGTATCCTTGAATTTTACTGCCAGAAAGACACTTGTCTTTCACTTTGAAAATATCCTCTTTGCCCTCCCCTGAGCCAGGAGGGCAGCTGCTACGCCTGGGGCTAATCTCTTTTGGCTTTTAAGGGAGGAATTTTTGGAAATTTCATTGCGGTAGTTTTGTATGACAACCTGGACCTTAGGCCACTGAAAACAAAGGATAATAAGTCAGGCTGTGCAGCACATTGTCCTGGAGGAAACTAAGTCCAGTAAATGTCAGCATTTCTGTCATTTGGGGGCGAAGCCAGTGGCAAGGAGCAGTGCTTGATTTTCTAGAAAAGTGGAATGAAAGTATTTGTAACCCAAATACTTTGTATTTTCATTTTTAAATCTGGTACACATTCATGACTTTTATTCTACCTTTCAATGTAGCTTTAATCTATTTGCTCACATTTCTTTAAAATTTAATGAGAAATCAGAATTGGTAAAGTAATTGTTGAGAGTCATACAACACACACACACACTTTCTTTTATTACTGAAGATTAAATGAGACCTAGTAATGTTTCTGGAATTTCATTTAAACTTTTTCATTTATATAAACTTTTTCATTTATAGAAGAAGAAATCACCACAACTCATTGGGTTTTGCAATATATGAGATCCATTTTCTCTAATCCCTTTGTGTTCATAAAGTCAGCTTAGTATGAGTAGACTAATACACAAAAGTATTCTTGGTATTTTCCATTATGAAACTTCATTAAAATATAATCTGAAGAATGTTAACAAACTTCTTAACACAAGGGGGGAGCACTTTAGTGACTTCTTAACAGACACCCTGTCAATAGTGACTATTACCGGAGCTTCTCAATGACTGCACCGGGCTCTCTAAGAAAGTAAGTTGAATAATCAATTATTGAGTACTTATTGTAAGCACAATACTGGGAGTTGTCGATAATATAGGCGGAACATGGCTTCTAATCTCAAGGAAAGTCATTCTAAGTGTAAGTGATCAGACAAATACACACGAGACCATAATTCAAAGCAGAATTTCATAAGTGCCAAAATAGAAATAAACACTACTAGGAGAGCTTGTAGGATGTGGTTGGTGGGACACAGGGATCAAAGATGTCATGAGAGAGAGGGACTGGGCCTGGTCCTTCTAGCTGGTTGGAATCAGCGGCGGAATCAGATGGAGAATGTGCTTCAGGAAGTTCATGGCTTTCTAGCACCCTCCTCTCAGTGCGCTTGCGGGAGTCCTGCGTGCAGAAGTGACGACAGGCGCTCACTGCCTGAGTGCGGAGCTCCCCCCCGCCCCCCCCCCCCCCCCCTCCGCGGACGTGTCCTCAGCGGCACCAAAGATCCTGCTCTACCCGTCATAGAACTGGGCGTAGGCTTCCAACTTTCAGAGTACATACAGATAGTTGAACAGATTTGTAAACTTAGCCAAGAAATATGCAGACAACATCTGTCCATTTTCATATGTATAAATCTGTACATTTACTTTGGAGTGTGTGTGTGTGTGTGTGTGTGTGTGTGTATGTGTGTGTAGTGGATACACACATGCATAGATTCAAAATTCAAAAACAGTGAGTTAAGTTATTTAGCCTAAACATTATTGACAAAATATTGGATTTACTCCCAAGGACCTTTGGATTGGGGAGTGGGGTGGGGGGCTGGCAGCAGGAACTAAAGGATTTATAA